GATCTCCACCGCGGCCCTGATGAAGATGGCGTTGTCCCGCACGTAGTTCCTCTTCTTGATGTCCTCGTGGGAGATGAACTTGGGGTAACCAAAACCCAAGGTGCTTTCATCCAGGGACCCCCGCGACGCCCCCGGCTTCTGGAAATTCTTCCAGTTGGGGTCGGGGTGGAAGGTCTCGGTGATGTGTTGGGGTTTGGAGAGCGACGGGTCGCTCTGGTCCAGCAGCGAGAAGGTGACACGGTAGGAGAAGGGCCACTCCAAGAGGTTGTCGTATTCACCCGGCAGCACGCGGATGTACACAGACAGGTGGCTGTTCTCCCCGCTCCCGTTGCCGTTGAGGAACGCTGAGACCTGCAGCTTGTAGCCGTACTTATGGGTGTAGAAAGGAGGGCTGAAGAACTCGTAGTTGCTGCGGGTTTTGGCCTCCTGCAGCTTGCGGGCGTAGTCAGAGATCTTCCAGATCAGGGTCCCATCGCTGCTCACCGACAGCTCCTCCACGTCGCGCCGCAGCTCCAGGATCTCCTGCCGCTGCCGGCTCACCAGGGCGCACACCATGCCCAGGTGGGCCTTGGTGCTCTCCTCCAGGTGCCGACCCATGGCCAGCTTAGGGCACTGTGAGGACCGTGGGACTGTCAGCACGGGGACCCCGTGGAATGCACAGGAATGGTGGGGTGGGACACGTGAGGATGGCGATGGAGGGGATGGCAGAGGAATGGCACACAGACATCCGGCTGGACAGCAGCGATGGAGGGATGCAGGACAGGATGGGGACAGGACAGGAAGGAGACACCATGTGGCCAGAGGGATGGGACGGAGCAGAGAATCCGAGGCTTGGATTGGAAGAGACCTCAAGCAATAGCCTGCTCATCTGCTTGGATGCTCTAAGCAGTTGGAGCAGGGACACCACAAGCAATAGGATGCATGTCAGGGACAAGAGCTGTAAAGATGCTATGGGGCACAACAGGACACCGGGACAGGATGGAGACATCAGCACGGAGCTGGGAATACTCACCCTGTGCTTGCAGCCTGCCTCCTTGAAGGGACACAGCAGCATGGCAGTGCTGCAGCTCTCCTTCAGGTGCGTGGGCACATCCTCCCGGGCGATGTTGGGCGTCCCACACTGGTTGGGGCAGGGCACAGGGTACCGGGGACACTGGTACTGGTGGTTCTGGGGACAGAAGCTGGGTGTTACTGGGGCTGAGAGACGGCGGGGTGCCCCCATCCCCACAGCTCCGTCTCACCTGGATGGTGTCAAAGACAAACTCCTTGGCACAGTAGGTGCAGGGCTGGGTGCGCTTGGGGCACTCGGACAAGGTGTGCTGGGACAGCAGGCGCCGCATCATGCGTGCTCCACACTTGTTCTCACAGTACACGCTTTCCTGGGGACATGTCCCCTGGTGGCCCTGGGGATAGAAGCAGTGTCATTACAGCCAGCTCCATCCCCACGGCCAGGCTGTGCCCCGCAGGGTGCCCCCCATCCACCGTGTCCCCAGCAGCAGGATGTCCCCATCTGTGTCCCCACGGTGCCCTACAACCCATCCACATCCTCCACAGCCACCTTAAACCCTCACCGCAGCCCCATCCAGCCCACATCCCCACACATCCCCCCATAGCATCTCCATGGTCACACCGTCCCCTAGCGGCGCTCACCTCGAAGGCCTCCCCGGTGAAATCCCCGGCACAGAACTCGCACTGGACGCGGCGTTTGGGGCAGCCGTGCTGCAGGTGCTGGGGCAGATCGCGGCGGCTCAGCTTGGTGCTGCAGCGGTTGGGGCAGGGGATGACGTTGAAGCCGCAGGTGCCCAGGTGGGCCTGGGGGAGGGGGGTGCACAGGGATGGTCAGGGTCAGGGTAAGGGGTGCTGTGGGGGGGTCGGGGTAAGGGATGCTGTGGGGGGGGTCAGGGTAAGGGG